GTTCATATGCCATACAACTCACTTATTTAAAATATACAAATCAATAGTTTTTAGTATATTCACAAATACATGCAACCTTTACTGTAGTCAATTTTGGAACATTTTCATGACCTCAAAAAAAAGCCCGCTTTGCTTTGTTGAAGTATAGTCAGCTTACAATGTTGTGTCAATTTCTGGTGTACGGCGTAATGCTTCAGTCACACATGAACATACACATATTCGTTTTCATATTCGTTTTCACCATAAGTTACCACAAGATATTGAATATAGCTCCCTGAGCGATACAGCATGAACTTCTTGTTTATAAACCGCTTTGTTCTTTATGGATTCATACGCTCCCATTCCACACTCCCAGCCCTAAGCAACCACAAATCTAATTCCGTTTCTCTAGATTTGCCTTTTCCAGACATTTCTTATAAATTGAAGCATACAATATGTAGTGTCTCATAACTGGCTTCTTTCATTTGTCCTAAAATTTGCAAGGTTCATCCACGCTGTGACAAATATCAGTACTTCTTTCCTTAAAAAGATTTTTATTCTGGTAAAATATATATAACATAAAATTTGCCAGGTTGTTGATCTATGTTGAGTTAATTTTCATAGGTGGTGTGAAGCAGAGGTCCAACTTCATTATTTTACATATAGAAACCCAGTTGTTTCAGCACCATTTAAGAGCTTATTCTTTTCCCCATTGAATGCTTGGCACCCTTGTTGAAAATCAATTGACTGTAGATGTGTGGGTTGATTTTGATTTCATTTGTCTCGCTGTCTGTTCTTCTGACAGTAGCACACTCTTGATTACTGTAAGTTTGTAGTAAGTTTTGAAATTGGAAACTGAGACTCCTCCAAGTTCTTCTTTTTCAAGTTATTTTGGCTACTTGGGGCCTCTTGCAATCCTACATGAATTTGAGGGTCAGCTTTTCTATTTCTGCGAAAGAGGCTGTTGGAATTTGGATAGAGATTATGTTGAATCGGGATTGGTTTGGGTAGCACTGACATTTTAACAATGTTAAATCTTCCTACCCATGGACACAATGTTTTTCCAATAATTTAAGCCTTGCTTAATTTCTTTCAGCAATGTTTTATAGTTTGTGCTGTATCAGTCTCTCACCTCCTTGGTTAAATTTATTCCTAAGTATTTTATTCTTTTAGATGCTTTTGGAAATGAAATTGCATTCTTAATTCCTTTTTCAGATTGTCCATTGCTGCTGTGTAAAAACACAACTTTTGTGTGTTGATTGCAAAGTTGACCGCAACTTTGCTGAATCTGTCTATTAGCTCTAGTAGCTTTCTTGTGGATTATTCAGCATTATCTATGCACAGAATCATGTCATCTGTGAGTAGAAACAACTTTATTTCTTCCTTTCCATTTTGGATACCTTTTCTTTCTTTGAGTGGGGGCGGCTAATTGTTCTTTTTCTTGTCTAATTGGATGATTTCTATTTCTTTTTCTTGCCTAATTTTCTTGTCTAGAACTTCAGTACAATGTGGAATAGCAGTGGTGAAAAGGCATCCTGTGTGGCTCCTGGTCCTAGGGGGAGAGCTTGCAGTCTTCCACCACTGAGTTTGATCTTAGTTGTGGGTTTTTCATAAATGTCATTGATCACATTAAGTTCCCTTTTAGGCCTAGTTTTTCTTGTTCTTGTTTTTGTTCTTTTCTGTTTGTTTTTAATCATGAAAGGCTGTTATACTTTGTCAAATGTCTTTTCTGCAATTGAGATGATCCTGTTTTTCTCCCTTCATTCTATTAATATGATTGATTTTCTTGTGTTTAACTGCATTTGCATTCTCAGGAGAAATCCCACTTGGTTACACTGTATAATTCTTTTAATGTGCTATTGTGTTTGGTTTGCTAGTATTTTGTTGAGGATTTTTGCATCTAGATTCATAAGGTATATTGGTCTATAATTTTCTTTTTGTGAAAAATTTATCTGGCTTTGGTTATCAGGATAATGCTTGCTTCACAGAATAAGTTAGAAAGTGACTTAATTCTTTTTCATGGCTGAATAATATCCCATTGTGTGGATATGCTACATTTTGTTTATCCATTCACTGGTTGACCATTATTTGGGTTGCTTCTACTTTTGCGCTATGACACATAATTCTACTGCAAACCTTATGTAGAAATTTTTATGGACATATGTTTGCATTTCTCTGGGGTATATAGCTAGGAGTGGAATTGCTGGGTCGTATGGTAACTTGGATGTTTAACCATTTGAAGACCTACCAAACTGTTTTCCAGAGCAGCTGCATTATTTTACATTCCCACCAGCAATGCATGAGGGTTCCAATTTCTCCACCTTCTTGTCAATACTTATTACTGGACTTTTAAAATTCTAGCCATCCTAGGATATGCATTTTGCGGTTTGAATTTGCATTTCCTTGATGATTAATGATGTTGAGCATCTTTTCAAAAGCTTATTGGCATGTTGTGTACTTTCTTTGGAGAAATGCCTATTCACATCCTTCACCTATTAAAGTTTAGTGGTGAGAGCTTGCTGAATATTTGTAATCAGAATATTATCTTCTTCAGTCCACACCTGCAACCCTTCTCCAAACACTGCCCTAGAGTTCCTGGACTCTGCTTTGGGAGGTAGGACTTTGTGCAGTGCCTTGGAGGAGTAAAAATACCCTCCAGAGCTCCTCTTGTGATCAGGCGAGGTTGAGCATTGGTCTGGAATTACACCTTGGCTTCCTTCATTTCTCCATCCTGTTTCCCTCTTCCCATGATTTCTCTCATGATCGCCTCTTCAGCAAATCACCTGCACCTGAATCCTCATTGCCAGGTCCACTTCTAGGGGAACTAGACTTCAGAAAGGGCTTGGAATGGCTGAGGAACTAAAAAGCAGTCCGTGTTGCTGGAACTCAGAGAACCTGGAGACTGGGGGTAAGGAGAGGCTCCAGTGGTCTGACCACAGAGACCTGACCACACAGAGCTTTGTAGATCACAGCCATGGACGGGGTGGGGGTCATTTGGAGAGCCATGGGGTCCACTGGGCTGTGTTAAGTGGGGACTGTCATCATTTTACATTTTGCAAAGGTCCCTCTCTGTGTGGAGGATGGATAAAAGGGCCCACGTGGCTACAAGAAGACCCTCAAGGATGCTGTTACAATGGTCCAGGGGAGAGGGGATGGAGGGTGGGATAAGGGTGGGAAGCTGGAGGGAGAGAGAAATAGATTAAGGAGAGATTAGAGGGCATGGATTTAGGAGCTGTGGGGAAGTTCAAGGACAACTTGTAGGTTCCCAGCCTGGGTGCCTGGATGGATGGTCAGTGCATAGAGAGGGAAGCAGAACTGGGAGGGTAGATCAGGAGTTCCACAGGCCAGACCACATCAGTTTGCCATCCCTGGTCATGCCCAATCCCCCCATTTCACAGAAGGAGAAAATGAGGCCTAAGGAAGTGCAGTGATTCTTCCAGGTCCCCATCATGCCCCAGACCTGAGGGGATGGGATCCAAGGGTCCTGCTGCCCAGCCGAGGACTTGTTTATTCTCTAGGGGGCCCACTGGCTTGGCCTCAGAGAGATATTTTGCAACTGGGAGAGGGTGGGGTTTCGGGCCTAATCGTTTTGTTCTGGGCTGGAAGCCAGTTCACAGCTCACAGAGAATAGAACATCTCAGCTCATGAGGGCAGCCCATGCCCTGACTCTGGCCAGCCTCCCTGTCTGGGTTTGGTGTGGGTGACTTGAAGGCACGAGGATGCGGGGTGCCCACCTCAGAGTGGCCGACATCTGCTCTCCAGGATTTGGCACGGACCAGAATGAGGCCCGGATCTGAGGTCTCCCCTTCTCTAGGCCTTTTCCTGCTGTGTGACCTTGGGCACATCACCCCTCTCTCCAGTCTTCAGTCTTCTCAGCTGTAAAATGGAGACATCTTAGAGTATGACTTCTGTGCCCTCAGGGTTGTAGGGAATACCAGGTGAAGAAATGAATGGACAAAAAAGTACTTTGTAAACTGTAAACTGCCTAAACTTTTATTTGGGCTCAGTCCTATCTCTGCCCCAAGCTATTGCCCAGTGGACTTCTCAGACTTCACATGATGGCCACCCCTCTGGAGAGGAAAAGGCCTGTGCAGAGCTCAGGGATCCTTTCTTATCCTGGCCCAGTAGCCTTAACAAACCCATTAGATAGATGGGGAAAACTGAGAGTCAGCCATCTGCTCAGGGTCACCAGGCTGTTAGGATTCGAAGGCCGGTTTCTCTGATTCCAAAGAAGAGAAAGATCCTTAACCATTCAATGACCTGTTTGGACAGATAAGATAAACTGAGAGCCAGAAAGGGGAAGCAACCCGCCTGGGGTCACACAGGCAGTCAGCAACAGGGCAGAAGTGTCACAAAAGGTCCCTGGCTCCCAGGCCATACTCCTCCTAACAACACCCCTTGCCCACCAACCCCTGGAGCTTGAAAAGGGGGCTCCCATCACTGTGGGATATTCCCAGTCATGTCACTGGCAGACCTGGGGTCCCCTGTCAGCCCCAACTTCTTCCCACCAGAACAGGCTGCAAACTTTCTTAAAAGATCCGACGAAGAGACACACCGCCATCTCTTCAGCGCAGCCTCTGGGCCCAGTGGGGATCTTTTGCAGAGGCCACGCCATGCCCCCTCCATGGGCAGGTCAGGGCAAAAGTCAATCAGTTGGGTTTCTTTGGCCTTTGAGAGACAACTGGGGAATCCTGAAAGCTAATGAGGGAATCTACATGATTCAAAGAGCGAAAAACTCTTTGGGAATTCATTGGTGGCCTCTGGAGAAATGTCTTCCTTGATTCGTTGGACAATGAAAGCACAGGCTGGCTGGGTTGGAGCCAAAGTATAATACTACATACCATTTAATGAGCACTTACTGTGGTCCAGGGGCCTTTTTAAGGCTTTCCGCATATTAACTCATTTAATACTCACAGCAAGCCTCTGGGGTCTGATGATTCTCATTTTACAGGTGAGGGAACCAAGGCGCAGGGACGGGGCATATCTTGGCCAAGAACTCAGCCTGTAAGTCACGGAGCCTGGGCTGGGGACCTGTCCATCCGACTCCAGAACCATGTGACTGACCGCTGCGCCACACTGCCTTGGGTACAGGAGGCCAGGGTAAGCACTGCCCAAAGGGCCAAGCCCTGCCCAGCCCAAGCCCCTGGGCACAGTCCAGGCGTAGCAGGACTGCTGAGGGGACAAAGCCCGTGGCCACTGCAGAACCAGCGATCAGCCCAGGTTTGTCTGAGGGTGAGTCCTGAGATCAGTGTTGTATCAAGTACTAGCTTGGCCACTCGCTACATAACACTAGGCAAGGTATCACCTTGACCTCTCTGAGTGTCAGTTTCCTCCTCAGTAAAATGGGGTGAAATTAGTATTGGTTTCATCAGATTGTTGTGAAAAATGCAACAAGCCCTACCAAGTTTTTAAAGGGCTTAGCAACGAGCCAGGCACAAAGAAAATGTAGAGTAAATGTTCACTATTAATATTATTATATTTCATTTCTGCATCCCCTCCTCCTCCATGGGCTGCTGTGAGTAGACAGGTTGTTGAGGGTTGGCTCTTTTGGAGACAGAGAGATGCACAAGATGGCTTCAGGGACCCCTCCCTCCCAAGGATTCTTGGATTATCCATACTGTGCTTGAACCCCCCTCATCCCTAGATGTAGCTGTAGTCTCTTAGAAGTCAGTTTTCATACTTGCACCCCAGGTACCCTGGCTCCCTGCCTGTGGTCCCCACTGGCTGGATGCTGTTGCTACGGCAACAGCATTTGAAGAGACTTTGGCCCCCCTCTGAGGCAACAGGCATGGCTGGAGATGGGCTGATCAAATGCCTCCTGCATCCTCAGGCCTGTGTGGACAGAAGGCAGGAGAGTGGAATGGGAGCATCAGAGCTGGCTCCGGGCGGGGGGCCGGCTCAGACCTCAGCCCCAAGCGTTTCCCAACAGCACCCCCACCTCACTGTGTTGCATGGGTTATACCCGAGCAGTTGGTTACAGATGCAGATTCTAGCCACCCCTGGCCCGAAGGGTCTGATTTTAATTATCTGGGGTGGGATCTCCTAGGAAGCTACCTTTGATGAGCTCTGCCTGTGGTTCTGAGACAGACAGGCCCCAGACCACTCTTGACGAAATACTCAGTCTTGGAAGATTCCTGAAGACATTTTGGGCATTGAGGTTTGTGCAGCTCTCTCTGCCAAGGAGACTCCTGAGAAACCCTCTTTGTCCTCCCTGGCCCGCTCTGGTCCTGCCTCCCTCTCCTTCTGCCTCCTCATTTTGTGGGAGGATGTGTGCCCCACCCTCTCCCCGGAGCCAGGAAAATTCCAGGACTAGGCTGCCAGAAGTCATCTTGGTCTCATCCTAAGGCAGAGGCAGGGGGCGCACACTCTCAGGATGATGACATTCAGGGGAGGCGCTAGCCAGGGTCACTCTGGGCAGTGGGAAAGGCTCTCTGTCTTCCAAATGCTCTGAGATCAGAGGTGGAAAGGCCTTTTCCCGCTGTCTCCCCACACCACCTGCTGGATGGAGACTGCCCCCTCCCAGTCCCAACCACAGCAGAACCCGAAGACACTGGGCACCAGAGACTGCCTAAATTGAGAGGGGGCTTGGGGGTGGGGAGAGTGGATGGAGGCTCCGAGGAGCCGTGGTGAGGAGGAGGAGAAGACAGAGATCATGGGAGAGGGAGGGGGTCCTCCCTGGGGTTCCTTGAACTCATGACTGATGGCCCATGGCAGTTGGACGAGCCAACTGACACAGCAGAGATGCAGCAGACAGTCCACCACTCTTCCCCGTCCCTTGTGCACACACTTGCCTCCAGCAGGTGATTCGCTTTGCCCGAGGCCAGTGGTGACAGCGGAAAAAATTACATGCGGTAATCTGCTTGACAGCACACCCTTTACTTCCTTCCCAGCCTCACCTCCCTGCTCCTCCACCAGTGGCTCCTGGGATCCCTGCCAAATAAATGCACACTCGAATCCTTGTCTAGGGTCTGTTTCGTGAGACCTTAAGACAAGAAGCCACTGTCCAGTCTGCCCACTTGGTGTTCCGTATGAGGGCAACCTGCCCCTCATGCCCCAAAAGCTCGCTCGCATATCCCTGAATTCCAGGTGGGCGTCTGGCCTGCACACATCCAAGACCTCTGGAAGGGTCTGTACCATAGCTCTTTCCACAGTGAGAGTTTGGGGTTTTGGAGCCAATCCCACACTCTACCGCATCCTGCGCCAACCTCCACTCTCACTCTTCTGAATGTGTGGAGTCAGGTCTTCCCGGAGGTTCCGGGGGCCGGGAGCAGGTGCAGGACTTGTCTTCCCAGCACAGGCCAAACTCAGTGGCCAAGTCTCGATGGACCGTCCAGGGCTTCCCAGCTTTCTCTGTAGCTGGGCCCCACCCCAGCCACCCCTGACCCGGGAGCCTGGTGTGACTGACAGGCGCTCCCAGCTAGAGGGACGCGGGAGGACTTGTCTGTGGTGAGTCTTCCAGAGACGTCTGTGAGTCTGTCCCCTCCGAGGAGAAGCTGCCCCCAGGGGGATGGGGGATCTGACTCTGCCTGGGGAGCCGCTGCCAGGAGAAGAGGGTGGCCAGAAAACGTTCAGGGGCAGAATCGAGGGGCCTGGGGGTGCTTTTACCTTCACCAGCCTCAACAGCCTGGCCAGCTTCCTGGGGTGGAGGGTCTGCCCGGAAATTTCTGTTCTGTCCCCGTCTGGGCACCCAAGGAGGCCAACAGGATTTTGGTGAATGATCCAGGCCCGGTGAGTTCTGGAGGGGCAGGTCCCGTCTTCCCTTGCAAGTGACTTCTCCTTCCAGCCCCTGGCCCTTGATGGCCACGCCTCTGAGTTCCAGGCATGCCAGGTGGGCAGTGGGGCCTGCTGGGCATGGACAGTGGGCTAGTGCCTTCTTCAGGAGGGTCTGGATCTCCTCGTGTCTCACCCGGGCCTCCTCCCACAGGTCCCGGCCCACACCCTCCTGGCTCAGAGAGGCCACCTGCAGCCCCACGGCTGTGAGCTTCTCAGCAGGGAACTCAGACGCCAGGCGCTGCAGGTAACGGTGGAGGCGGCGCTGGTCCCCAGGGCTGGCCTTTTGGGCCTTGCCGAGCCTGAGTTGGGCCATCAGGTCCTGACAGTCCATGTGGAACCAGGTCACCTGGGAGACAAAAAGAGAGGGAGGTGGGGGCTCTGTGGGGACAGCCATGTGCCTCTCCAAGCAGATCGGTGGGGGCGGGGCTTGGAGAATAAGCATTGCGAGGCTGAACTGATAATAAACGCCCAATCAACGTGGTCGCGATTTTCTGCGCTGACGATGATGACACTATTTCCCTCTCTTCCCCAGGCAATACCGCCCTCCAGCGCCCACCAGGATACAGGCCCGGCATCCTTGAGATCTTCAGGCACAGTCTCATAGACTTCCGGGCCAGCAAGGACCTCTTTAGGGCTGCTTCTCCCTCGGTAAAGTGTGCTAGATAATCAGGAAAATTTGAGAGCTGAAAACTTGGATTCTCAGACTGTAGGAATTCCTTTATACGTGGTGCACAGGGAGGAGTCCGGCTGCTATATATGGAGTACTGTTTGCTAGGCTCTGTGCGTCTCATATATGATCACACTGAACCAGCAGCCCATTTTGCAGAGGAGGAAACTGAGGCTCAGAAACATGACATCACTTGCCCCAGGTCACACTGCAAGTTGAGGAGGAGCTGAGATTTGAACTCAGCTCTGTCCAGCCTCCAAGAGGGTATCTTCCAAGCATCACCTTGCACAGGAGAAACTGGCCCAGGCAGGGCAGTGCCCTTGCAGTCACACAGCGAGACTGTCAGCCAGCCCAGGCCCGGAGGCCTCCTCACTCTGGCCTGGCCTCTGCCCCATTTGGGGAATACTGCCTGTCCCCACTTCACCCACAAAATGTCTGTAGGCTGCAAAGGAGCCAACACGTTCCCAGCAGCTCGTGAAAAACATAATCTTTCTCTCCATTAATTTAGAAGCCGACAGCGAGCTGTTAGGCGGTGAGGATTGGAGAACCATTTTCTCCGAGGAAACCATCTTTCCGCGGATTAAGGGAACTTGTCTTTAGATAAATGGCTTCATATTCGCGGAAGCACACTGAGCTCATGGCTGGGAAAGGGCTCCATAAATCTCCGTTAGCGGCACAGTCGGGTTATTATTATTTAGTGCCGAAGCTGCTGCCAGCCTCTGGGGCTGAGCCCAGCACTGAGCCGTCCTGTCTGTCTGTCTGGGACTGGATCTTCCAGGCCGAGCTGGTCAGAGGCAGATGGCACCTTGGAAATCATCTTGCCCAACCCCTTGTTGTGCGGATTACAATTCAGGGCCAGAAAGGAGAAGGGGCCGGTGGAACAGCGAGAGATGGCCAAGGTGGGACTCAGGGTCAAGGCCGCCCCCTCCTGTCCTGTAAGGCCTGCGACAGACTCCGCCCTGGCACACGTACTCCAGCCTTCCTTCCGCCTGGGCCTCCACACTCCTCCTCCATTCACTGGGCCGGTTACCCAGCTCCTCTAGAGGCTGACCCTGTGCTGGGTGCTGCAGTAGAACAGGACCCAGTCAGACCCCTTCCCTGCCTCGGGGAGCCCAGCTCACAGGTGACAGATAAGGGACAGGTGAGCAGGTGATGAAGTAACAGGATAATCTTGGATTACAAAGAGCGTCATGCAGTCGTCAGCACAGGGTGAAGGCAGAGAAGGGGCAGGCGCTGGGGGGTCAGGAAGGGCCTCTGTGAGGAAGGGACTTGTGAGCTGAGTCATACAAAGGGCAAGAAGCCAGCCCCTTGAGGGGAAGGCTTTCCAGGCTGAGGGAACAGCCTGTGCAAAGGCCTCAGAGCTGCAGCTGGTTTGGTTTCTCCAGGGAAGGCCAAGGGGGCTGAAACTGGCTAAAATTAGTAAACAAGGGAGAGAAGCTTCCAGATACCCTTAACCCATGAGGCATGACTCCTTCTCCTAATGGTAATAATAATGTGGGTGTTAAAAATAATAATTCCCAATTTGAACAAAGTCCGGGGTAGAGGCAGGAGGGTACCTACACTGAATTTAATTCTCTCACTACCTTGCAAGGCCAGCACTAGAGCCAGATGACCTGGGTCTGAATCTCAGCAATGCTGCTTCCTAGCTGTGTGACCCTGGGTGAGTTACTTGACTTCTCTGTGTTTCCTGCCTCACAGGGTTCATGTCACAATAAAATTATATGAAATGACTAGAACAGGGCCTGGTATATAATAAGAACTCTGTACATAAGCATTGGTGGTGGTGGTGGTGGTGGTGGTTGTT